CATGAGTAGGCATAGTTAAGAAGCCTTATATGTGAAAATAGACCAAAGGATAAAAATAACTAGGAAAATTGCATTTTTATATAAGTGTAATTACTACGATTAAGTGTAAATAAGAATAACAAAATAAAAAACTTACTTATCTGCGTTACATCCGTTAAGGGCTGACGAATCCATTGAGATAGAAGTCGTTGGCCTTGAGGAGTACGACATCTATTCAGCACGCCGTATACACTTTGATGACGATTTGCTAAAAATTATGAAGCAAAGAGAAGTATTGAAGAAAATAATGGAGATCAGACAGTGAAAGAACCACTCCTCTTTTATTATGCCCTTCATAGCTGACAACGCATTGCCCGCCTATAACATGTACAAAATAGATAAATGACTGTAATAGTTACAACCTCAGCCAACAAACAGGTACATCTCCTATTAATAAGGCCTTATAGAGTCCTCCGCATGCAATTTAACAGCAAAGATTAATTATATTTGGAGATAAAGAGTAGATAATTTTGTCTGACTAGAAAAAATGCCTCATAAATAGCACAGAGTGAGTTATCTAGGCTGCGAAATTACCCTATTAAAAAGCCAATTTAAAACTGGAAAGGTGTGTAGATAAAATGGAAAGGACTTTAGTTAGCTGATTGGAAACTCAGACATTTCTTATTAATATTCATGCCTTGGAATTTATTGATAAATAAAATTAGCTTAAAGAGAAAGATCAGTTATCCCATTTTGGCAAATGAAAGTCTCGTTCAAAGAAATCAAGTTATTTTGGGAAAACAAAAGAAAGATAAAACAAGCGCAATGAGATACATTTATATAATTAAAATGCATTTCAGGAGTATAATGGGAATAGAAAAATAACTTTAAGATTATTTAAGGGCCGGCTTTATCATAAAGAAAGGAGCAGGCCTAAGGAGGCCATTTCACTTAACCTTGCCAGAGCGGACTGCCGTCTCGATCTTGCTCAAGTAATAATAGCTCCCTCAAAGCAATTCGATACCATCCGCGAGAATTGTGGCGACTTAAACACTTAACAGCACAGCCACGTGATCTAAGTCATAAGGTAAATTTGACATGCAAAGCAAGTCAGGCCTGACCCTCACTCGTACCACTATAGCATGTGATAAGAAAGGCCTGGCTCGCGATGAAAATCACTTATGCCCTGTGACCTAATGATATTCGTGGTAGTGTATAGTAGTAGTAAACCGTAGAAAATAAGACTACTAGCCGTGTTCAATTCACACTGAGGATGCTGATGATACCCAAGCGAAGCCATTGTGAACCCCACCCTGGATAAGCATAACTTTGGACAGGCAATGCCAAGTGAAAATCAATGCATTGTAAGGTATATTAAAATTTATTCACCAAAACTTAGCCCCCATATACAACCTAAATTGGACACATTTCTTATCCAAAATTGAAAATCAAAGATATTCGATTTAGAACAGTGAATCTTTAAACCCTTTCTGATGTGCTGGAAGAACACAAAGAGTCTCCTTAAGTGCATATGCCACCCTTATGAGCCATGCCCTAGAGCAATAGTTCACAAACTTTTCCTAATCGCGGCGCACTTTTTCAATTAAAATTTTTCCATGGCGCCCTACCCTAAATATGACTATTAGTAAGAGATAAAAATAGCTGGTGTATCTTCATTATTATTTTACTTTATTGACATTAAATAAATATTTAATAATTAGTGTGATGGATGAGCCTGCAAATCACTGCACATTTTCTCAAATTGAAGCTTTTAAAATATTTCGCGGTGCCCCTGTAAAGAGGCCAAGCTCCCCGAGGCGCCGTGGCGCACTGTTTGGGAATCACTGTCGTAGAGCGACTTCATAATAGAGAAATAAGCTTCCGAAGTTCAGGTATGAAGACCAAGATGATGTGGCCTGTGTGGTCGCAGTCTCCTTTCGTTGTATATAGATTGTTTGACCTTGTTTTCGGAACATGGTCATATTGGTAGGAAGACTTAGCGGAATGTACCAAGTCCACGGTTCAACTTTGGACTCAGGACTAGGTGCGTTCCGCTAAGTCTTCCTACCAATATGACCATGTTGCAAAAACAAGGTCAAAACCTCTTCAAAAGCTCAGATTCATTCCAAAGCACTATGAAAGGTGACATGCTGCAATATTACTTGCTGCTTATTTTAACACAATCGTCTGCAAAGGTCTGTGGGTCCAGAAGTAGCTAAAAATATAAATAATACAGCATGAGAAAAAGCAGTATAACATCGAACGACTGGCAGGATACGTAGACTTTATAGACAAGCGGAAGATTGATATCAATTAATAATCAATATTCAAAATAGAAGAAACAAATGTAAGAAATTTTTCGTCTATAAGTAGTTTCGAGACTACCAGTAAGTCAGTTATATAAGATATATTCATCCTATTTCGGTCGAAAATGCAGTCTACTTTGAATAAGAACTTTTGGAAAAGCAAACATCAACTCTACTCATATAGAAGTGGGTTGACCTCGTCAAAGAGACAAGTTCGTATCTTGGTGCGGAGAATGGCAAGGCTCACTGAT